CAACTCTCTGCTCAGTCTAAAAAGCTGGAAAAACTGAATACTAAAGGCTTTAAAAATATATAAAAGGGCAGCAAAATAAGGCCCACAGGTTTCACTGAAAAAAAACCCCTTAGTATAAAAATTTTCAAGCTGATCTTGTAATTCTGAGGACCTGACTCAGTTTTGTTCTTTTTGTGGGGTGGATGATGTTTGCATTTCACAGGCACATTCCAAGAACTGACTAACACCTATAATTGGGCTTAGGGGTGAAAAATAACCTATGGGGTCCATTTGTAGGAACTAGAAAAACTCAACTTTATTTCCAAAGTCAAAAATAAACAATGAAAGACTGAAATGAAATTTTCATAGGCAAACTTTGAACCCAGCAGAAGTGAAACCTTGAACCAAGTAGATTTGGTGGCAAAATTCCCATTGGTTGACTGAGGCCAAATTCAGATCAACTCTCATATTTAAGACTGAAACAGAGAGATACTCACACAAATAGAATAAATACACTTGCAAATTTAATTCCCCTGCCAGATTTTCTGCTGAGACAATTTCTCTACTAGTCGTTAAATTCACCACTATGTAAAAAAGGTACTCTGGGTGTAAAACCTGAGACTAGATAGCCTAAGACTTGTGTGCTCCAAGCAAAACAGAACATACCCTGCCCTTCACCTCTCAGTGTTTATTACATTGTCAAGCTAATGATTTCTAACTTCATAAAAAACAATAATAATTGCCCACAACATCAAGCTACAGTGATTTTTTCCTCTTACCCTCTTCTATTTCTCAAGATACTGGAAAGAAATAGTAAGATAATATGGCATGCAAATTAAGTTCTACAAAAGCCCAGCCAAAAGGCTGCTGTAAAAAGCAGCGGTATGCAAAGGCAAGGACAGTTCTGTCCTCTCAGCCTCCCCCAGTCTCACCCTGAGAATTCAAACCAAACCCAAGTTCTTTTCTTGGCCATGACTTAAAGGGAAGATTTATTTTTTTGTTTTGTCAACCGAAAGCAAAAGTTTCCATCCCAGTAATTTCATTATTTCTTCTCACCAAACACACACAGGTTAACAATCAGACAACAACTCTCATTTAATCACATAAAAAAAAGTCAAGTGATGGGTTTCAATTGCGAGATACTGACTTGGATGTCCCAAATCTGTTTTCAGACCAGTATCCAACTTCCAGCTCGATGCAACACACAACATTTACGTCTTTAAAAAAAATTGTATTTTTAGTATTGCCAAAACACACATGCACTTTTACTTTCTTGGGAGAAAAATGTGTCTCTTGATTTGTTTCCAATCTGTGTGTTCTTGCCAGCAACTAAAATGCCTGAAGAACCAAAATGAATAATCGTTAAGAGCATCGGCAATTAAAGCTGCAAATTTTAATCAATACATCTATTAATACAAAGATATATTTATCTTGGCCAGGAAACTTGTGCACATTTTCAAAATCCTAAGCATACCTGGTCTGTTAAATTATTTGTTTCACAGACTCAAGGAAATCCAATGTCTATGGCAAATATATTATCAAACAGACTTTAGTCTTTTTTTTCACTTCCAGTAATTTTTGTGGGACTGATATTTTTTATGTTCTTTCCCCAACTGCTGGTTACTAAATCCATTTCTTAACTTTCAATTTTCTTTTGTTTGTGTCATCAGGCTGTGAAACCGGCGGTCACTGCCAAATCTAAACCACGGCAGTGCGAGATAGGCTCAAAATGTGAGTCATCGTGTATTTGGAGATTTGGGCTTTTTCAGCTATCAGCAGAGCACATCTCCACTCCTGCGTCCAAGTTCTTATGCACTAAATATCTCACAATTTGCTAAAAGCAGATCTTCAGGTAGAGTTACCACGGTCAAGGTCAGCAGGATTGCAAGAACCCACTGTCACGTAAATGCTATTGAAGGCACCGTGTCCCAGTGTGGCCATGGGATGCTGGGATATATTTTTAAGTACCGTGGCTATTTGACCAGTGAATAAAGAAGGACTAGAGGAAATCATCCACGAGGCAGTAACAGATTAGCTACACAGTATCTACTAGGTTAGTTTTCCCCATCTGTTTGTGACAGTGGGGTTCAGGTGCCAGCCTGCCTGCCAGCATCCCAGTGCTGAGCCCGAGACAGAGGGAGCTCTTCCAGCCCCTGGACCGGCTTCCCCTCATATGGAGCATTTTAGTAGGAGAACCAGCAGCCCAGGAAAACAGCACCCCTCCCTGTTCCACACAAACAGCTCCCCAGCACTCGTGGTGGGTGCTGCTCAGCAGTGCCCTCACCAAGCACAGTGGCGATGAGCGACGCCTATGGTGTTCTTGTTATACATGAAGCCTGTTTGTCACAAAAAAACCCAGGTGACTGCTAACCACTGTGGTTACTGAATGAGACATCTATATTTATAAACGAAACCCAAAGATGACTTGTTCATTATTTAGGCAAACTTCTGAAAAACGGGCGCACTTCCCCCACCCTTGACATTTATTCTAGGTACTGTCAGCAATGGGCATCGCCTCGTCAGCGTGGCCCCATCCCAGTTCAGGGGGCGTGGGTTCTCGTGTGGGTACAATTTTACTCAAAAATTCTACCCCCAGCAGCACCATTTCCTTTCAGCAACAGATTTTCATTACAAGGATGCACTTGGGGGTGTTACATCCAAGAGGACTTCCAGTACATTTCAGACTGCAACAGCACCAGGAGTGAGAAGGGGAAAAAAAAAAAAAAAAAAGACCGGGCAGTCATTTGAATCAGTGAGTGACAGGCTGGGCCAGCTCTCTGTATACATTAATAAATTAGAATTTTAATTGTGTCTCTGACTGCAGGAGCTGCTCCAGTACTTTAATACGTACCAACAATTGGCTATGTTATGGAATCCGCGATGTGGCCTTCACTGTTGACCTCTGCAACACAATTCCCAGTCTGACTACGGAAACTGTTTGGTTTGATCCTTTCAACTTATTTGAATCCTGACAAATAAGCTCACAGCTGAAAGGTCAACACAGTCATATTTCATCCTCTGGAGCTATTCTTAAGACATCTGCACAACAAAGCACTTCTTTTAGTACCTGACACTGGACCTAGCCAGCACAATCTCTCATTAAAAATGTCCCCAGTGGAAGAGTCTATTAAAAGGCATATGGATCAGCTATGGATTTACCAAATAAAATATTTTTGAAGGCATTAATGTAACGCTTTGGATTACGGCTCTCGACACTGCCAATAAAACGTATATTTGCCCAATGACAAAATGCTTCATACTTTCCAAAAGAATAATAGCCCGGCTATAAAGCCCGAGGTGTTGTCCAGCAGCCGGAGCTCGGGGGTGGGAGCCAGGAACTCATGAATCTTAATCCTACCTCTAAACCCAATTCCCTCTGTGATCCTATGCGAGTCGCTTAACCCGCTTCCCTCAGTTTCCCAGTCCAGAACTGGGATAATGCTACTTACTTATCAGACTTTCCTTCTGGGGATGTTTTGGAGATTAGTATTTGCAAAATGCTTTGAAGATGAAATCACTACGCCAAAGCCTGAAGTTGTCCACGCTGGGCCAAGGGCTGCAGTTAATAACTATTCCTCGCTCAGGCAAAACTTCCCTTGAAGTCCCCATCGGCTTTATTTGGGTAAGAATCACAGGATCAGGTCCTCTCACTTTACTGTCAAGGCCTTTAGTGATGTTGGTTTTACCTTCCATATTCTACTACATATTTAAAGAGCCTAGGATCCGTATTTTTGTAGGAAAATAATCTGAAGCACATATAAAAGGCAAGAGAAGCAGCAATGCTGTCAGGGAACTCATGGTGATAGTATATCAAACTAAAAAAAAAAAAAAATAGAAAGAGCAAAACAGACATGAGTTTGACAACGTGCTATGACAACAAGAGGGGAAAAAAAAAAAAAAACAGAAAGAATTTGGGGCTACAGAGGCTGAAGCATCAGATATAGAAGAGCGAGATAAGATAAATGTCCCAGCTACAGGGCTTTGTGCAACTGCAGCTGAACTGCTGCATTCAGGAACCGATTATCAAAAATCCAGGGACACACTGCAATTGCAGAGAGCAGTAATAAAAGCAATAACCAGCTGCAAACCAGAGAAGTGGTCAAGGGTCTGGAAGTGCCAGTTTATGGAATGCATAAAGAACTAGATACATATAATTTGCCAAAACTGGCAAGTACATGTTAGCATCTCGGATGTTTGAGGACTGCGAACACGAGGCAAGGCAAGGGACTGACTCAGTATTTATACAAGCAGTATTACTTGGAGCAACAGGACAGAACTAAAGTGGAAAGTTCCTGAGCGTGTGCTTTGTTATGGAAAACCATCCGAAGGAAAATAACAGCGGTCCCACCACCACTTGGGATTTCTAACACTAGAATAGCAGAAAAAAAAAAAAAAAAAAAAAAAAAAGGAAAATGTGATACATGACCTAATAGGTCTTTCTTGTCTTTAACTCCCCGTGATTTATCCCACAAGACTAGCAGAATGTACTCCAAAGCCCCATATGTGTACATACATCTTCTGTTTGGGAATGCTGTATTGGTTTTAGCTCTCTGAATTCATAACAGCACAAAGCCCTATAATATTTAGATTTTATTTCTGAAGATGTCCATAAATCAGCAGACAATAAAGGGGGAAAAAACACACCGATGATATGATATCCTAGTATTTCCTAATATCCTTGACACAGCAAATCAACGGTTTGAGTGAACACAGACTACAAATGGAACAGCAATCAAACAGAAATGTTAATGCAAATCTCCTATGCACACTGACACAGTAACAAAAGCTATTCCATTTTGTCATGATCCAACCCTACCAGATGCTAATAAAAGTACACGCTCACGATTTGTAAATATGCCATGGGTGGGATTTCCTCCTGCCACTTACACCAGCCACAGCTGCTCTGTGGACACACTGGAAAGAAGCTCCTGAAGGTGCCATTCCAATGTTCACGAGGAAGACTCATTTATTCATCTTTTACAGGCCCCAGTCCCTCACAGAGGCACACAGGCTCCCCTTACCTGAAGGGCTGGCTGTTTGTCATTCCTCTTCGGAGACTTTAATCCACTAACTTGTTGCTGCTGCTGCTGCTGCTGTTGCTGCTGCTGCTGCTGCTGTTGCAGAAGAAGCTGCCGTGCCACCTGGAGAGCCTGTGGGGAAAGAGGTTGGAATACTGAGTTTACAGCAAACAGGGCATGGAGAGCTATGCACACAGCACAGGGTCAAGGCAATTTCTGGTCATGGGGTTCCACTCCTGATGCACCTCCACTGAGGAAAGCAGTGGCTTCCACAAAAATAACAACTCAGCACTTGCATGCAATGTGGCGATATCCCACCACTGCATTTCCCATTTTGACTATGGAGAAAACCAGCAGCAGCTGCTGTTCAGGTCCTGGGTGTGAACCTCAGATAACTGCAGGAATCCCAGTGGTGAGCTCCATACAGTCATTTTTGTCCCCCTGGAGCAGCCCACAGCCCTCATTGCTACTGGGCAGTCTCAAGCCTTTCATGTGCCTCCTTTCCAGCAGGTCAGGTCAGGCTTACAGAAGAGGGCAGTCCTTTATCACTGCCTGTTCTCCTGAGCGCCAGAGAACATCAAGGAAGTTTCTGGAAGGTTATGATGGGAGGAAGAAGAGAGGTAGCAGCAGGTGGAGCCATGGTGAGTGTCAGAGGCACTGTGCTGAAGGCTGAGAAAGCTGCAAGGAGCTGGAGCAAATGCAAAGAGAAGCAGGGACAGCATCTCACCCCACCAAAATCCAGGACTTGGACTTTGATGATCCCTGTAGGTCCCTTCCAACTCAGGATATTCTATGATCCTATGAAAATCACTGATGGCTTGTGACAGAGCTCTGGGGACTCAACGGGAGGGGGTAGAGCAGCGAAGGGACAGTGTGACCTTACAGGATGGAGAGACAAAGGACATGACCTCAAAAGCATGAGCAGGCATGATGTGTGGCGGATTATTGCAAAATTTCATGCAAAGCAAAGGAGAAGCATCCCTGGACATCAGAGCCTGCTGCTGTGCAAGGCCCGATTTCTCCACCAGGTAGAGAAAAGAAAGCAAGAGGAGATAAAACCCGAGGGAAAAGATGAAGAGCAAGTCCCTGCCCTGGCTCCCTCTCGGCTCCCCAGCCAGGGGATGCCAGGATGATCTCTGCAAGACAGACTGTGGCACAGCTGAGGCTCCGCTGGCGAGACCCCAGCCTGCTGCTCCCGGAGGATTCACCAGCACCGGACTCGGGCCTCCTTGGTCTCCTTGGAGACGTTCAGTACATGTGTAGGTGGAAAAGTGGGAAGGCTGAAGACTTCATTAATGTTAAACAAGAAAAATAGTCCCTTTGCAAGATGCCTACATGGAAGGAGGGGAAAAGCCTTCCCCACTCCTACTGTGTATGTTCTCTGAGTGATTTAATTAATACCTATTTAATTAAGGAGTCAGATACGGTTCGGGTTTCACTTGCTTCTCCGAGTCGCAGAGTGTTTAATCTCAGTGCAGAACTGCTGGGAAAGATTTGATACCAAGTACTGCAAACTCAGATCTGAACCCCCAGTAAAAACTTGTTATTTTATGGCCTAGACCCATCTTTTTACTTTTGAAGAGAGACTGGTCGGCTCAGCACGTTGAAGAACCACGGCTGCTGGCCAGGGCAAGCAGGGAGGAGAGACCCTACTGCGCTCTGGCAACAAGCCCTCCTCTCAAATTTAATAACGAGTCTGCACCGCAACACAAAAACTCTGTAAGGGTGGCTGTGACTTCCAACAGAGCTTGGTGTGGTGAGGGTAATACCAGATTTTGCATTTCAAGCTGGTTGGAGCTCAGGGCACCCATAACACCTCTAAAACGGCTCGTGTCCCTGTGAGGGGTGCAGGGAGCTGCCAGGTATGGACACACACCAGGGCAGGCCCATATGGATCTGGGCTCACACACACACACAACCACCCCACCACGGTGCAGCATCAAGAACCAGAAGACCTTCCAGCCTACCAAAGAATGCAACGGAACAAAGGAAACTTTTATGAAGAAAATTCTAAGTATGGTTAAAAAAATGTTATTTTTATTGAATTAGCTTATTTAGCTGTAAAAGCATATTCAAGGGTGGGCAGAGGCAGCAGAAATAAAACCTACAAGACTTAAGGGGATGGGCAACAAATACTCACCTACTTAACAAGGGTGTTGTATGGCTTATTTAATTAATGAATACTTGTAAAGCACTCTGAGTTGCTCAGACAAGAAGCTCTATACAGTACAAGTGCAACATATTATTATATATTATTAAGACTGGCTCTGTAGAAGAATAATTCCAGGTAAATGTGCAATCAAATGATCATTTTAGTTCCCAGTAATTAGATTCAATAGGCCAAAAAAAACACAGAAGCCTTTCTTTAATCATACACTAAACAATCAGAACATCCCTAACCTTTCAAGCTACAGCCTTTTTGAATAAAACATCATCAACTTATAGATATTATTCCAAAAAGAACCAGTCACCATATGTGTTGTCTCTTTGAAATACAGTTGCTATAGCAGACCCTGCATGCATTTCATGTGATATGATCATATTCTATCCATTCTGGCAGCTGAGAGGTTGCACAATTAAATTGGCTGCCAGAAATTTTTGAAGATTCCCAGAACGAGTAGCCATGCAAGAAATGCCTGCTCTCTACTCGAGCTGGCCACGAAGCTCTGTGCAGCTCACTGGGGTGGCCACTGCCACCATAAGGCCTTATCACGGCTGACCCCACACCGATGAGGATTTCTGTCCTCAGGGCCAGGCTTGCACTGGCAAAGCTCTGATGGAGCAAAGTCAGAGCCCTGTCCATGCTCCAGGCCCACCTGCACAGCACCCACATCCTGCACACCCACCCTTGTGAGGGTCTCCACACAAGGTGACATCTGCAATAACTGCTTCATGTCCAGTTGTCACCTGTCCTGGTGCAGACCTGGTGGGACCAGTGAGGGTGAGAGGGAGGGACCAGCAGAGAGGGTGGAGCAGGGTAGAAAGGAAAGGATTAAAAACAATGAAAAGTGGGCTGGAGGGAGCACTGTGGATACAAAGAGTCAGGATGGACAGGAACATCAAAGGGAGGAACAAGGCAGGTGCAGGTGAGATGGCAGCACAGAGACATTGCAGAGGATTGCAGATTGAAATGGCATTTCCCATCTCTCCTCTCAAGATTTCGCTTTTTCACTTATGCACCACTGACAGCAGTAAAAGCTGAGCATCGGATGAGCTCAGGTTTAAGATGTGGAAGGTTGTTTATAGCTCAGATCTGGTCCTTACTGAACATCTGCATCAAGTAGCTACTGTGGTCTTGGTGAACCCAGGGATCCCACATCCCCCTTCCTTTCTACATTTTCCTGCTCAGCCTTTTCTCCCTCCTACCTCAGAGCAAGAACTGCCGCTGCCACTTCCAAGACTCATCTGCACTGCTTACACAGGATGTGCAAAAGAAAGATGGTCCGGGAAGCACCATCCCTCTTTCCTCTTATCCACAAAATATTTCAAGCCCATTTGGAGTGCCTTCATGGAATGAATGTGCTGATGTTTCAAGCCCTGTGGACACCTGCCCTCATCACACCGGCACGTCCCGTGTAATCCAAGCCAACGAGTGTCGCACCTCTCCCCCCTTCCCTGGTTCCAGGCAGTACCGCTCCCGCCCGGAGCTCATCGCTGGATGCCGGCGTGGGAGCCCTGCTGAGGCTGCCGGTGCTGCACAGCGCTCAAACGAGGAGAGACAGGGAAATTAATTTGAGTGAAGTCAGTCCCACAACCTTCATCAGCACGGAGATTCGCAAGCAGGCCTGTACATTAATAAAGCTTCCTGTGGGAGTAGATGTTGCCTTTGATTTGCATGTGAATTCAATGCTAGTGAGAAGTGCCAGACTGTCAGACATGGAGACCAAAGTCTCTTATCTTTCCAAAAGCTTCTGTAGCAGTTTCCCCACATTTCCTTAATCATCTGCCTTGTCCTCAACTTACTGAACAGGCAGTAGAGAGTAAAGCTGGACTCGGTTCAACTCCTGCTGCTGCCAAGTCCTGAAACAAGGGTGCCAGGACTGTTTACTGCTAGCCAACAGCTCTGCTAATGTGGCCCTCTCCTCACGAGCAGGTGCTCTGACATCTCCAAGCTCTTTTCACACATTCCTCCCCACTGCCGTAGTTACATCCTAAATCTCCACCACGTGCTTGCAAGTGAACAATTGCCAGGGGCCGTGAAAAAACAGCTCATGTTTGTGTGTCCAGACAGCTGCCTGTTCCTTCATGGGACAGGCAAGAGCCCCTGAAACCACCGAGGTGCTTCACATATTTGGGTCCATGATTACCAGCAGCCACAGCGTCTGTGCTGCTCAAAGAGTCTGCAAGCCTGGATAAAGCTGCTTGGGACACCCAGAGACCCAGACACCAATCCTGGCCTCCCACACTAATCACAGAGCACTGGCAACCATCCTCCTCTCTGCACCAAAACAGAAAGAGGAAATTTTCCCACTTACTGGAAAAAAGAGAAAGGAAAGAATATCCTAGCAAGTGCATCTTCTGAGTGCCGTCATTTCTGGTCACTATACATATGGATTCAGAAGGACAACATCAGGAAGAGGCTAACTACCAACCAAGTCATCCTATGACTAAATGTAAGATACAGTATATAAACTCCCAAGATATTTTCTTATCCATTAGGAAATCACCCAGAGATAAGGAAATTTTTCTGGCGTAAAACAGAGACCAGTAAAAAGGCAACTGAAACGCTGCACTTTAAAGACATTTCACAAACTTGGGATGGTATTTGAGAGTCAACACTGAGTGACACCTAACCCAGGAAAAATGTTAACAGCACATTAACTGTGAGATGAATCAAGTCTGTTTCATTCACAGAGCAAGTGGGAAGCCCCACTGAAAATCCCTCTCCCTGTGCTCAGGGAAGCGGCAACTATTTAGTATTTCCCAACTAGTTAAGCACTGGTGGGGGGTGGGGGGAAGTACACATTTGAGATGACCAAGACAATTTTATTGCAAGACAGACAGAACGTGACTTGTTTGCCCAGCTGTTGTTTGCCCAGAACACTGGGCAGTGTTATCACCCCAGTTACTGTTGTAATTCGACATTTTCACGCAAGCTCGACCTTTCAGTTTCATCATCCTCTTTGGGCAAG